GTGACTTTTTCACTACATTTGAAAAAGATAAAACAATTCCTTTAGCATAATCTGATCCAAATCTGAATTTAAAATCATAGCTGCCCATGTAAGGTGGAGGGGGGAAGGGGGAGGGGGGGAAAGACAGAAGAAGAGGGTGAAAGAGAGAAGGGGCAAGGAAGGAGGGCAGATAGGGCTCCAAGAGGGCAGGAGCATTTACTCGCTCTCCCCAGTGGATAGCACCATGTCTGGCACACAGTAAGTTTGAATAAATAGTCAGTGTGGGGAATCAGAATCTATGGAGGCCCTGCCAGGCACCAAGGTTTACTACTTCTTATCCAAGCTAATCCTCTGCTATGGAGTCAGTATCATTACTGTCCTAACTTATAGGTATAGACATTGCTTGTAGTAAAAGAGGAAAATGAATAAGAAAAAGTACACCCATAATCATCTAGTTTTCTTTCATTTGAAATAAAATGAAGAGTGGGATGGCTGTAAGTGTACATGAGAGAATGCATTTTCCAGGTATCTACTCTGTTCAGTAACTGTCTTGAGTAGCACCTTAAAGCTTTTCCTCACTAACCATGATATGCTTTTCATGTGATTCTGAGAATCATAAGACAACACTGGAAAAGCATGAAATAAATGAGAGGTAGTTTGGTAATTTAAAAAAGAAAAAAAAAAAAAAAAGCAAGAGCAGCACCTACCACTACCAGCCATCTCTGGTAAAATGTCAGTCACTGAATACTTTTCAACTAAATTGAGGAAAAATGGGTTGCCTTTATGTCTATTTAAAATGTATCAGCTGATCTTCAGGGAATTAAAGAAGGGCTTTGCTTGTTCAGTGTACCTCAAACCCATATGCAAGTGATATTCATACAGTGGCACACATTTATAGTCAAAGATAATACTTTGTTTTTAAGAAAAGCAGAGTCCACAGTGTAACTAACTGCAAATGTCACACAGCACACACACAAACCATAGCCAGACAATGCTAAGCACCAACAAAGAATTTTGGGAATTACCAGCTGTATTGTAAAAATCACTGTCAAATATATTTGATTCCATTGTTTGTCATTCTCTGAAGATTGAAAACACTTTCTCTGCTATCCCATCCCCCCTCACCATTTACCATGTTCCTTTTCTACTGACCTCTAGCACTCATCCTTAACCTTTTTTTTCAATGCTACATTCAGAGGGGGGGGGGGGGGGGGAGAGGAGAGCAGGACAAAGAGAAGGGGTGGGAAATGAAGTGTGTGTGTGTGTGTGTGTGTGTGTGTGTGTGTGTGTGTGTGTCTGTGTCTGTGTCTGTGTGCGCACGCATGCTCGCACAGGCATGGGGGGGTGGATAGAGTTTTTTAAACAACAAATAAACTCTGGGATAGAGATGGTTGTTTTCTAATATGTTGTTCTCTCTTCTTCAAGAGAACCAGGAATAGGTGCCATATATTATACATAAGACCCTGGCATGGTGGCATGTATTTATTTATTTATTTATCTACTCAACAGAAATTTACTGAGTACCTGCTAAGGTGAGGCATTGAGCTACTAAGTAGTGCACATCTGGAAAAATAAAAGACATGAGAGTTGCTTTATAGGCATGATAGGAAATTACAATTCATCGTATGGTAAATTTTTATTTTAAAACCTATACCCCTTAGCCAAATGCTCTCCACTACCACCCAATATAGGCAACCATTGTTCTTTGCAAACATTCTCACAAATATATGCTTAATTGGTCTCATAGATCTCAATCTTGCCTGCCTCCAATGCTTCTATAGCCAGTTTATAGTAAAGAAGCAAATTTGATACTATTGTTCTCTTGCCGAAACCGGTTTGGCTCAATGGATAGAGCGTCGGCTTGGGGACTGAAAGGTCCCAGGTTCGATTCCGGTCAAGGGCATGTACCTTGGTTGCGAGCATATCCCCAGTATGGGGTGTGCAAGAGGCAGCTGATCGATGACTCTCTCTCATCGATGTTTCTAACTCTCTATATCTCTCCCTTCCTCTCTGTACAAAATCAATAAAATATATTTTTTTTAAATCTTTAAAAAAATATTGTTCTCTTTACTGTTTTTCCATACACTAGAGATAAAATCCTAACTCCTTTAGGAGATCCCTTAAACCTTCTATTTACCTTACAGATTCCCATCTTGCCTCTGCTCTCTCAGTCACTACATTCTGCCACACACAGCTTCTTTAAGTTCCTTAAATATGATACCAAAGCTCTTTACCTCGGGCCTTCCCATACCTTCACATTACCTAAAACTTTTCTTATCTTCACTGCAAACTTGCCAACGCTAAATACTGACTTCCTTTGGGAAGCCAACTTGGATTGCCACTCCATCCCAGCTCATCCTTTTCACCTTTGACCCCCTACACTTACACCCAACCTACCATTATCTCCACCAAACAAGGCAGGTGTTCTTGCTATATGCTCCCACAGTGAGTTATTTCACTTAGTAGCATTTAAAATATTTTATTATAATTGCCGATTTAACATTATTTGTCACTAATTATTGTGTAAAAATCAAGAAGCTATACAATATAAGCATCTTGCCTTTGTATCCCTAGAAACTAGTATAGGGCCTTGCACAATAAAGATTTGTTCAATGAGTAGATTGAGCCCCATTTAGTTATTGGGAACTGGGAAGGGCTTAGAGATAAACACCCACTACCCTTAAGGAGGATAACATGAAATGCAAAATATCTGTTGTACACAATTATATGATGATAATGAGTATATAAAATTGACTCCAATTTGGATATGTGGGGATTTGCTAACACTGTAAATTGGAATTAAATATTTAGCTCTCCCTTCTGGGATAATGTAATCCACACTAAAGACTTCTGGAAGACAGTTTGATGATTTTACATTACAGATCAGAAAATAGGCACAGCAAAGTTAATTGAGTTACTCAAGGTTACCCAGAGAATCAGACACAGAGAAAGGACTTAAAACTCAAAAATTGTCAACCTCTAGTCCTTGGTACTACCATTTATTTAAAAATTCCTTTGCCTTCTTCTCCCCAAATTCTATTGCGTGATTGTAGGACTTCAACCTGCATAATTTAATAGATAGTCTTCTCAAACTATCACCTGTGGAACTGATATTTGAAGACTCGGGGATGTAGGTACTTTTGATAGGTCTTCCTCTGACCTGGAACATGAAAGGCTTTCTGGGATGTGTCTCTGCACTCTTTGCTCTCTGCAAGTGCCAGTTCCTTCTTAGATCTTAATAGAGTATTAGATAGACACTAGTTGTCTCTACAAAATGCCAACAGTGAATTTTTCTGTTGTTGGATATCATAAGGATGATGCCCTACATTTAAAAATCTTATAGTGAGTTGGCTGGGACATTCTATTGTACTGGATAGACATTTTGGTAGAAAATGCTGCCAGCAGTTAATAAGTATTTGACAAGCAACATTGGCTATTAACTTTAACAGCATTACAGGTTCCAACATTCATATTGTGAGAGAAATAAATTCAAAAAGGTTTGTACTGCCATTTCAAAAGGCCAAACATTTATTACATACTCAATACATATGTTTATATGTGGTATTCTGGGGCCAATGGCAAATACGGTGCATAACCAAAATGCCTCAAAAAGCCTTCATTAGCTTCCCAATGTATATAAATATCTATATATCTATATAAATATAAATAAGGATGCTTTGCTGTTCATAACAACAGTAGTGCTGATAGTAATTTCTCAACAATATAGAGGGTGAGTACACAGTTGAGATTTTTTCCCAGCCCAGACTAGATATACCGGGGCTCTTTCTTTTTATAACTGAATATAGCTCAAGATGTTAAGAAATTTAATCTGTACAAAACTGTGGTTAACACAAGCCACTTTTATTACATATACAGAGCTGTACTCTTCTTCATAATTTTCAGATCAATCACACTAACAGATAGAGCATTAGATAGAAGAGTCCCATATTATAGAACATTCTTCTTGCTCTTTGAGCTTTGCTTAATTCACCCTTCTTTGGCCAAAAGCAAACATCTTCACCCTTACAGCTTTCAAGCCAGCTCACTGCATCACCTTTAGTCTGACTTGCATCTCCAGACCCAAGGAATACTTTAAATGTCCAAAGTATTTACTGTTCTTAGTCCACAATGTTGACATTAAATGAATTGGCTCTGTCGTGCAAATATAAGTGATTATATTTTCCCTAATAAAGACAGACACTTAAGTTACTCATTTGTAAGGTAGCCCATGCAAAAGAAAGAGAACTTCTGTCAGATGCCGAGTTAACATCAATTGCCTGTTCCACGGAAATGTCAATTAAAATTCTAGTGCAACATTTCAAGCACAATTTTCTAATTCAAGACATGTGCATAAATCCATAGTGAACTGAGAGGCATACAAGGTAAGTCTTAAGGGCCATATATGCATTTATATTCTTGGTTGGTCATTGGTAGATGACATTCATGGAGTCAGAATTTTTTTTACTTTCACTTGAATATGCAGATTCCATAAATGCATCCTTATTCACCAGTCCTATATGGAGGGAAATGATTTTGAAAAGATGTTGCTTTCTTTTTTTAATGCCGCTAGTAAGCTAAACCAAGGAATAAAAGTTCCTTGCAAGAGCGGCATGAAGGCCGTATTGACTTCTTATCTTTAATTGATTTTAGAGAGAGAAAGGGAAGAGGGAAGAGAGAGAGAGGCATCTATGTGAGAGAGAAACATTCATCAGTTGCCTCCCACACCACCCAACCAGCAATCAAAGCCGCTACCTTTTGGTATAGAGGATGACGCTCCAGCCAGCTGCACCACCAAGGCAGGGCCTGCATGGGCTTCTTGCTTTAGGAGATTGTAAATGCTCTCAAACACTTCTAAAGGGAGCAAATGCCAACTTGGGCTTTAACATCCTGACTTTTTTTTTTTTTTTACTCCACTTGTCATCATGGTGTGAATGGGATAATATTAAAGGCTAACCAGGCAAAAAACAACATAAAATACTTTTATCGCCAGGACACCTGCCCAATTGGACAATTTACTTTACCTGTAGAGATTCCATCTCTTCATCTTTTCTGTGGGACTCCTCCAGCAGATCTACAATGAGAAAGTAAAAATACCCATCAAAATGCAGTGCAAAAATTGGTAGCCTCTTATTATCAAACACAATTCAGTCAGGGGCTTGTATAAACTGTTGTCCAGAATAGAATTTGATGTTCTCATGCCCACAGTTGAGATGAGCAGAGCTCTGGATCCTGCCAAACCTACACTGGCCGAAAACCCTGGGAGGTCCTAGAGCTGATGGAGATACTTGAGAATGAGACCAACTCAATTAAAATCCAAAATCACACCAGCATTTTAGAAATTTGGTCCAGTTTATATAACTCAAAAGTAACACAGAATTAAAAAAAAAAAAAAAAACACAACACATACACACACTCACATTTTTTTCTTTTGAAAAATGAGAAGCAAACCATTTGCTCTTAAACTCCCAAGCCAACACCTCCAGAGAAAATTTAATAACCAAATTAAAATACCCTGAATAATGGGTGTTATTAATGGAAGTAGAACACCAGCTTAACGTACAATCACATTAATTATCATTTCACACCAAAAGGGTGGGAAGCATTGAAGCTACATCTGACCAAGAGGTTGGCACCATCTCAGAGAAACCAGTGGCTGGAAGGCGAGTTAGTCGCTGAAGCGAGTTCTGTCTAAATGCCTGCGCACAGCCACGGTGCCTCAGTGCCTGACATTAATTTATGAACCCGCTGTAAAAATATATATGCATACATTTGGCAAGTAGAATTTTCTGCCTGCAGCTATACCACCCTGTGCTGTGATCTTATTAGATCTCACAAACCTAGAGAGGGCTAGGCTGAGTCAGAACTTGGATGGAAACTGGCAATAAACACCTACAGCAGCGCACATTAATATTAGCATTTGCCTTACGCTGTGATTGATGTAGCTTACCAAGAGGCTGTGCTGCATAAAAGGAATATATAGCCTCCACAAATTCAATATATATCCCAGAAAGGCAAATGTTTTTAGCAAGTGCAATGCCAGATAGCAGCAGGAAACAACAGTATTGTGAAAAGCCAAGCCACAATGGTATATGTCATAGCTGGGTGGGCAATACACTGAAACTCCAGAAAACCTGGTAGATGATATGATTGATAATGATGGCCCTTTAAGACTGGATGGTTAAGAGAGAGGAACAGCAAGCAACCCTCTCAAGACACAATGCACTCGAATTAAGGATAAGAGGTAGTTTTTGCTCTGTGTCCATAGTGGAGCTGATTTTAGCTCCCAGACACTCATAATCAGAGTTACATCAATAAGTTAAAGAAGCATGTATTACAGTGGATTTTTAAAGAGATTTTTGGTTGGCATATCACGTTCTTTAGCAGAAATCAACTTGGGGTGTGGTAGATTAAGTAGCTTCAGTCATTCCTCTTCTTGTGTCCTTACTCATTTGCATTGTGACACTGTAGCTACTTCGATCAAGCAGTCACAAGCATCGCTCACCTCTTCTTGCACAGAATCTGCCTCCTGACTTGATTTGGTGTATAGAATATAGCAAATCCAACTTTGTGCCTATCTGCTTTGAAGGTGCAAGAGGTCTCACACATTTTCACTTTTCCACTTGAAACTCTGTCATCATCAAACAAGCACAGTCCAGCTTGTGGAGACACATGGCCCAGGACTCTTCCCATCCCTAACACCTGCAGGTTACCTCCACTGGCAGTCAGGAAATGTCCAGAGCAGAGCTGCACAGCTGAACTAAAGATGACCACAGATGACATAGATAGAAGCCCACATGAACCCGGTGCAACTTCAACTCACAGAATTTTGACCTAAATAAATGAAATTTTAAATGGTTTGGTGCCTAGTGCTTGCTCAGTGATAGCAATCGGTTGCTAACTGGACAACAATCATTTAGAATTTATTAGAAGGCTGTGGAAATAACTAACAGAGATGTGGGGGGAAATGATCTTGACTCTGGAAAAAATAAGCACTGGTCTGGGTGGGTAGGGATTCAGGAAGCATGAACCAATTGGCATTTTATCCTGGATGCCTCTATCTTTAATATATATTTCAGAGAGGAAGGGAAAAGAGAAAGAGAAAGAGGTAGAAATATCAAGGATGAGAAAAAAATCATTGATTGGCTGCTTCCTGCATGCCCCCCAGTGGGGGTTGAGCTTGCAACCTGGGCATATGCCCTGTCCTGGAATTGAAACGTGACCTCCTGGTTCATAGGTTCATAGATTCATAGGTTCATGCTCAACCACAGAGCCGCACCAGCCAGGCTGGATGCCTCTAATCTTTGTGTCACTCCATCAAGATGAAATTCCATAAAGAGAAAAGCTAACTAGCCTAGCTTAGATCTCTTACCTTCTTCTTGACTAGGGGAAAGCATGGAGTGAGATCACTGATAATCCCAAAAGGATTGGATAAAGAAAATAAAGAGCAGTTTCCTAAAGCAAAGTCAAAGTACTATTAATAGAAGAAGGCGGGTGGACAGGCCAAAACAACAGATGCTTACTCCAAGTGGTTTTAGTAAATTATGTCTTCAGTGCAACTCTTCAATACCTCTTAGATGTGAGATCACTATTCTGTTCCCATGTGATATAGCCATTTTGTTACACTACTTATGAATATTAGATGGTTCACAGAGGTAGGCCCCTTGTAATGAATTGTGTTGTTTAATAGTAGAGTGGAACTGTAGTGATGGATAGTGGGGCCCATCAACCATTAAAGGAAAATGATCTTGTTCCCCATAGCCAACTTAGTATAGCAAACATCATACACCTTACCGAAAACTTACTGGGCAAATAAAGATATTGAATCACTTATATAGCCAAACTCAACTCACACAGTTGATAAAATAGGCATAAGTTCAGTTTACCCTCAGAACTTCATAGAAGAATAACTATAATTTTTAAAAAAATTATGTTCCTTTGCCTGGCCAGCATGACTCAGTTAAGTGTCAACCTATGAACCAGGAGGTCACGGTTCAATTTTTGTCAGGGCATATGCCCGAGTTGTAGGATTGATCCCTAGTAGGAGGCATGCAGGAGGCAGCTGATCAATGATTCTCTCTCATCATTGATGTTTCTATCTCTCTCTCCTTCCCCCTTCCTCTCTGAAGTCAATAAAAATATGTTTAAAAAATTATGTTCCCAATTTTCTCCAAATGCCTAAAAGTTCATGTTGCTCTTCCAACAAAGCTGACACCAAAAGCAGTGTTTGATTTTGATGGCCAAACAAAAATGATTACAAAAGAATTTTTTACAATTGGTATTTAAAATATAAAGCCCTCTCTGTTCACCCTCACCAATCATCATCCTAACTTATATCAAGGGTAGAACTGGACATTTGGTTTTATTTTTTCTCTATGCCACATCCCTTCCCTGTGAAAAACACCTGACCCGCCCCATGGCATATAAACTAAGCCACGCCAGCAGGAATTATTTTCAGGCACTAATATGGATACTGAGAGAGAATCCTTCTCCTTTGGAAGCTGCAAGCTTATTACTTCCTTTACTATTGTAAAGAAAAGCGGTACAATAATGAAGCTGGCAAAGAAGAAAGCAGAGCTCAGAGACGGAGAGAGCTAGTTGAGGACAAGATCCCTCCTGCCTGAAGCACAACTAACTCCTGGACTTTACTATCTTTTACTTAAATTAGTGCTAGTTGGATTGCTGTCATTTTTTAAAGTGTCTGAGAATGAAGTATTATTGAACCTTTTTATCTCTATTCAGAAACTTGGAGAACTTAGAGTGGGCAAGAACATTCTCTTCTACAGGGAAATGTTTCATTCTACAATAAATCGATAAAGACGAGGCTCAAAGAAAGCCATTAGTTTGCCTGAGATTCCTAGTTAATGCCAGGCCATAGCTAGAACACTGCTCCTCTACCTTCTCCTCTGCCTTCCTGCCCATCTAGCATACCATGCTCTCATTTGCGCCACTCAGTTCTTCATTGCACCCTTTTCCATACTGCTGTTCTACAAAGAATGCACACATGTGTATTCTCCTCCTTTTCTTTCGGAGTTCTCTGATGTCAACAATCAGAGCTTCTAGGTCTTTATACCCATGCCCTCCTTGACTACAATATCTCCACCTTTGCTACTTAACTACATTCCTCAAATTGCCCCGCTGTCTATCCCACTGCTCAGAGCAATTGCTTACTTGTCAGGTGCAGTGCTGAAGCACATGCATTTGAAATGATGAACAGTGTTGTTCATCATTGTGCTGATCAAATAGGCTGCTGGGCATTGCTAAAAAGTGGCTGCCCTACGGCAAATACCAGATGAGAGAACACAGATGGCACCTCTGGACAACTGAAGTGACAGAACACCTCAACACCTGAATGTGATCAGCCACGTCACTACAATGAACAGTCTTGCTGCTTGTTCTTGACCAACTTAGAATAAATGATCAGCAAGGAAAGGCTAAAGGATTGCTCTGCTCCCTTGGTCACCACTGGCATGTTCCTGTATTGCTTTATTTTTCTCTGGTTTCCTGTTCAACACAAACAGCAATTCAACTGTCATGCAGATTGCTGTGGCTAAATGTGCTTCCATCAACATCAGTTAACGAAAGATTTTTTTTTTTGGTGAAAAGGGCTGCAGTCCTGTGTATTTTCCTTGGACTGGTTCCAACTCTTTAAAGAGCTGATACTAACTATATGGTCTTTAAGATATGGGAGTAAATCCATTTGAAAAAGACACAAAGCCCTGGCCAGTTTTGCTCAGTGGTTAGGATGTTGGCTCAGACTGAAGGGTTACAGGTTTGAATCTAGTCAAGGGCATGTACTTGGGTTGCAGGCTCAATCCCCAGCAGGCCCTGATCATGGTGCTGTGCAGGAGGCAGCCAATCCATGTGTCTCCCTCACATCAATGTTTCTCTCTGTCTCTCCCTCTCCTGTGTGCACTCTCTAAAAATCAATGGAAAAATATCTTTGGGTGAGGATTAAAAAAAAAAAAAAAAAAAAAAAAAACATAAAAAAGGACACCATGATTGGGAACTTGAGAATCAATTTGTTTTAAAATCAATTTGTGTTTTTTTTTCCCCCCACTTTGTATTTCATTG